GGCTATATGGCTGCACCTGTAGCTCAGTGAGTAAGGCGCCAGCCACATACACCGAGGCTGGTGGATTTGAGCCTGGCCTAGGCCTGTTAAACAACAGTGACAACTGCAACCACAAAATAGCTGGACATTGTGGCAGGCGCCTGTAGTCCCAGCTACTTGGGAGGGTGAGGCAAGAAAATCACTTCCAGCAGTTCTCGACCTATGGGTCATGACCCCTTTGTAACAATGAAAATACATCGTGGCATTAGGAAGGTTGAGAACCACTGGTAAGCCCAAGAGTTTGAGGTTGCTGTGAGCTGTGATGCCATGGCACTCTACCAAGGGTGACATAGTAAGACTCTGTCTCAAAAAAAAAAAAAAAAAAAAAGAGTGCTGGCTATGATGACATTGCTTTCTGCACTTTTGGTACACATGGCTATCTGTGTTGAGTGGAAGTGGAATGGCTGGGTTGTGGCCACCTTTGGTGGAATGCTCCTGTGCAATTTCCCCAGTTGGCATACCCACCTGCAGAGCATGAGAGAGATTCAGTTCCCCACTCCATGGCTTGCCTTTCTACTCTCTTAATGCCATTTCCTGTCAATATTTTGATTGAAAAATTTCAAACTTACTGAAAACATGAAAGAATTTTGTAGTAGCCACACTTCCTAGATTGTATTATTCACATGTTGCTATACTTACCTTATCACATGTCTATCCAAAAAACATCCTTCTATCCACCATGTTTTTGGCATTTCAAAATAGGTTGCAGGCATGAGAGCACTTCACCCATAGAAGCTTCAGCATGCTTATCATTGGCTAGAGAAGTGTTTATGTTTTATTTTTAGGTCAAATTTATATACATTGATATGCACAAAACTAAAGTATATGTTTTGATGACTTTTAACAAATACATACACCTGTGTAATCCAACCTCCCATCATGATATAGAACATTCCCAGCACCCCAGTATGATCTTCCCGGCGAGTCCCTTACCTATCTCATCAGAGGCAACCACTGTTTTGATTTCTTTTTTTTTCATAATAGTTTTACTTGTTCTAAAACCTTATATAAATTATATGATATGCTATGTACTCTTTCAGGCAACATTATGTTTCTGAGATTCATACACATTGTTGCATATATTTGTAGTTTGATCCTTTCCATTGCTGAGTCATGTTCTGGTATATGGATGTACTACAGTTGGTTAATGCATTCTCCTGTGGATACACACCTGGGTTGCTTTTACTTTTTAGCTATTGTGAACATAAAACTGCTATAAACATCGAGTCCTTTTGTGGACTCCTTTTGTGAAGTCCCTGGACACATTTTCTTTTCTTTTGAGGGAAGCCCTTGGAGTGGGATTGCTGGACCATAACTTTACATAAGAAATTGACGGCTCGGCGCCTATAGCTCAA